TATGCCTTTCTATACTAATACGTTATTTTGCCTTTTTATGTCTTAATATACAATCACTTTTTTATTAATTTTAATGCCTCACTATACTATGATGTTATTTTTCCTTTTTATGCTTTACTATACTATGACGTTTTCATGACTTTACATGACTTACTACATTATGACGTTTTTATGATTTTTAATAATTCATGATACTACGATGTTTTTATATATTTTCTGTGTTGTATACTATGATCTATTCATGCCTTACTATAATATGATTTTTTTATGCCTTCTTTGTAAGGTTTTGGTATGATATGAACCCACAATAAGAACACAGAGTAGTGACAAAAACAAGTCTTTTATTTAACTTTTAGTTTAAAGTGTGGAATGGGGGCTGGTAACAATGCTGAGGGCATGGAGCTGTAAACAGTCTGGCAGGGTAATGGCGGGGATAGATTCACAAACAGGAATCCACAGAGCTGAGTAGGCAAACAAAATCTAAGCTGGTAAGACAAGACAGGAGTGTGGCAGGATGGCAGGATGACTGGAGTATGAATCTGAAGCACAAAAACAACAGGATTACAAAACGTTCAGAAAGACAAAGAGCAAACAGCAAGCCAAGCTTGGCCGTAGCATTAATACCACTTGTACAAACGGGAGATCTGGTAAAGAATAGTAAGTTGAACTGGTCCTTTATACTGCGGCCGGTTGTGGAGTTGATTGTATGATGAGAAGCAGGTGAGTATGGAGACTGGAGGGAACAGGAACCAGGAAGCCTCAACCAGCTGACACACACACACACACACTTATACAGACACAGATGACAAAAAGGAGACAAACAAACTTTTGATTCCTTACTATACTATGATGTTTTCTGCCTTTTTATGCCTTACTATACTATGTCATTTTTATGACTTTTCATGCCTTACTATACTATGACATTTTTAGGACTTTTTATACCTAACTAATATATAACATTTTTACCACCTTTAATCCCTTACCATACGATGATGTTTTCATGATTTTTCATGCCTTACTATGACATTTTTATGCCTTTTTATGCCTTGATATAGTATGGGGTTTTTATGACATTTTATGCCTTATCATACTATGACACTTTTCATGACTTACTAGACTATGTCATTTTTACCACTTTTAATGCTTTACTATGCTATGACGTTTTTATGACTTTTTATACCTTAATATAATATGACGTTTTTACCACTTTTAATGCTGTACTAAGCTATGATGTTTTTATTACTTTTCATGCCTTATTATACTATGCTATTTTTATGCCTTGCACATCATTTTTATTATTATTTTTTTCATGCCTTACTTTATTATGACCTTTGTATGCCTTATTATAGTATAGGGTTTTTATGACTCTTTATACCTTAATATAATATGATGTTTTTATGATTTTTCATGCCTTACTATACTATTATGTTTTTATGACTTTTCATGCCTTATTATACTATGATGTTTTTTTTTTTACTTTTTATGCCATACTATACTATGTCGTTTTTATGATGTTTTTCTGCCTTACTTTACTGACGTTTTTATGCCTTACTATAGTATGGGGTTTCTACGACTTTCTATGCCTTATTATACTATGACGTTTTTATGACTTTTTATACCTTAATATAATATGACGTTTTTACCACTTTTAATGCTGTACTAAGCTATGATGTTTTTATTACTTTTCATGCCTTATTATACTATGCTATTTTTATGCCTTGCACATCATTTTTATTATTATTTTTTTTATGCCTTACTTTATTATGACCTTTGTATGCCTTATTATAGTATAGGGTTTTTATGACTCTTTATACCTTAATATAATATGATGTTTTTATGATTTTTCATGCCTTACTATACTATAATGTTTTTATGACTTTTCATGCCTTATTATACTATGATGTTTTTTTTTTTACTTTTTATGCGATACTATACTATGTCGTTTTTATGATGTTTTTCTGCCTTACTTTACTGACGTTTTTATGCCTTACTATAGTATGGGGTTTCTACGACTTTCTATGCCTTATTATACTATGACGTTTTTATGACTCTTCATGACTTACTGTCCTATGATGATTTTATGACTTTTTATACCTAACTATACTATGTTGTTCTTATTACTTTTAATGCCTTACTATGCTATCATGTTTTTATGACCTTTCATGCCTTACTAGACTATGCCGTTTTTATGCTATTTTTATGCCTTACTTTGATATGACTTACCGTACTATGATTTTTTTACGACTTTTTATGCCTTATTATACTATGAGGTTTTTATGACTCTTTATGACTTACTATATTTATGACTGTTCATGCCTTACTATACTATGTCGTTTTTACCACTTTTAATGCCTTACTATACTATGACATTTGTATGACGTTTTTATGCCATACTATACTCTGACGTTTATACCACTTTCAATGCCTTACTGTATTATGATTTTTACCACTTTCAATACCTTACTATACAATGATGTTTTTACGACTTTTTTTTCTTTATTATACTATGACGTTTATATACCTTTTCTATGCCTTACTATTCTATGACTTTTCATGCCTTACCATACAGTACTATAAAGTTTTTATTCCATTACTATACAATGGCGTTTTTTATGCCTTACTATACTATGATATTTTTATGCCTTGCTATTGTATGACCTTTTATACGTTAGTATACTATGATTTTTTTATGTCTTGCTATTGTATGACCTTTTATGCATTAATATACTACGATTTTTTATGCCTTACTATAGTAGGACTTTTTATGCCTTGCTATACCATGAAGTTTTTATGCCTTACTATACGCTGACTTTTTTTGCCTTACTATACTGTGACTTTTGTATGCCTTACTATAGTATGACTTTTTAATACCTCACTGTAATTTGACGTTATCACCACCTGGTACGCTGCTGCCACTGCAGATGACAAGAGCAGACTGCAGCATATATTTAATTCTGCTGAGTGGGTGATTGGCTGCAATCTGCCAACCCTCCAGGGCCTCTACACCTCCAGGACTCGACCCCTCCTTCCCAGGACACAAACTATTTGAGACACTCCCCCCTGGCAAGAGGCTGCGGTCCATTATGACCAGAACCTCACGCCACAAGAACAGTTTCTTCCTACTGCAGTTGGCCTCATTAACAAGGCCAAAGACCCCAAATGGTATGTTTGTAAACCTTACTATACTATGGCATTTTTTTATGCCTTACTATGAGTTTTTATGCCTTACTATAATATGACTTTTTATGACTTACTATAATATGACTTTTTGTGCCTTACTATCCTATGTGTTATTTATGTCTTACTATACTATGATTTTTTATGATCTTATATACTATGACTTTTTATGCCTTACTATACTATTAAGTTTTTATTCCATTATCATATGATGGTGTTTTGTATGACTAACTATACTAAGACTTCTTTTATGCCTTGCTATAGCATGACCTTTTTTATGCCTTACTATTGTATGACCTTATACTGTGACTTTTTTTATGAGTTAATATACTCTATGCCTCTCTATACTATATGCCTTACTATACTATGAGGTTTTTGTGCTTTACTATAGCATGACTTTTCATGCCTGACTATACTGTAACATTTTTACCCCTTATTATACTATGACGTTTTTATTTCTTACTATATTCTGACTTTTTATGCCTTACTATAGTATTACTTTTTATGCCTTACTATACTATGATATTTTTATGCCTTGCTATTGTAAGACCTTTTATGCATTAATATACTATGAATTTTTATGCCTTACTATACTATGAGTTTTTATGCCTTACTATACTATGATGTCTTCATGCCATTAATATACTATGGGGTTTTTTATGACTTACTGCACAATGACTTCCTTAATGCCTAACTATACTATGACTTTTTTATGCCTTAGTATAAGATTACTTTCTTTGCCTGAGTATATGATGACTCATGACATATATATGACATACCAAGAGGGGTGTCATGTGTCACCTAAAAGAGGATATATTATTATGACATATATACATCCTCTGGATATATGAAGATATACGTTTATAACATATATGAAATACTCATAAAATGCAACTTCATTAAAACATGCTTATTAAAATTCTACATTTCTATCTATGAATTTCTCAATAATTTCTTATTAAATTTAAATATACATGTCTAACTTTTATATTTGCATATATAATATGAACAAACACCGACAGGATTTGGAATGGATATATATTTATGTAACATATTTCTATAATATAAACAGACATACTAAAATACATGTTTGTATTAGCTAGACATATATGTCAATATATATTGTATATATGTCATATATTATATTTTTCCAACAGGTTACATATGTAATTTTTACACATATGGGCTACACTTTAAAGCTATATATATGATTTACTTAATATGTACATATATTTCATGTCTGGAAATTCAGATCAGATTCAGATCTTATATGTTCATAAACCGTTTGGTTCACGGCATTAAAAAGCCAATCTTATTGTTTTAGAGGGATGGCAGGGTTGTTGCGTCCCTACCCATGTTGAGACCAAACCTATGTCCTTGATAAAAATACAAATATTTAAAAGGCCAAATCAGTAATACTTTTAACCATAATACGCACATTCCTACATACTGTATAACTGAAGAGTCTCATTTTAAAAATTACCCATTTCTTACCTGAAAATGGATTCCTGTTTTCTACAGTGTGTTTAACATTACTGATGTAAACAGATCAATTCTGTCATTCTATCAGTTTTGATTTTGTTGTTTTCTATTATTGGTCTGTGTCAGTCAATTCGGGAGTAAGAGCAGGTCCCAAATTGTAATCAGAAATTTGTGAATGGGGTGATCATTCATGTACATTTGGATCACAGACTGTGACTATAATGTGTAACACCAACACATTTTAGCGACAGCGACTCTTAGGTTTGAATACAGAGTGCTTTTTTTTATGTATAGACTAAGAAAAACAATAGGAAGCAAAACTGTTTTTCAGGAGCAAGAGAATATTTATTTGTAAAATGTATACAATAGGATGAATCCTTTCAGAAAGATAAAGGAGCTGTTAATGCTGTGTCAGTGAACTTTGTCTAATCCACAAAAATTATTTAAAATGAATCGGCAAGCGTTGGCAAGCAGAATGATTTTTGGATAGAATAGTTTCCCAACTTTGTAGCTTAAAAGTAAAGAAAACAACTCAATTCATATTTGCAGTCATTCAAAATGTTAAACTGAAATTAGTTTTGTTAAACACCAGGTAATGAGAGTTGGTACTATGCTGTCATCAGGATTTATCTGGCAACAGCAACATTAACTATGTTAATTAGTTAAACTATTTTATTGTGGCATATGTGTATTCTAACTGTAAATATAAGAGAACTATTCACTAGAAAAGTCAGTCAACCGATGGCAAACAAAATTTCTGATTTTTCATTATTCTGAGTTACCAGTTCAACAGATACACGTGTACATGTTTTGTCCAGCCCAGCCTGAGCCCTAGTTCAATTAAATAAATGGGAGTGGACAAAATATCAAAAACATAATGCAGTATTTTGATACAATCTAATATAACAATATCACAACATACAACCTCTAAAATGAGATGAATGAACACTATGACCTTCAAAAAAGAGGCAGTTATTATGGGGCCATTGTATTTCACCTATCACCGACACTCAAAATTAGATATATTTTCTCTGTTTTCAAACAAAGAGAGAAAGCTCTTGATACATGGTCAGCTACACCTATCTATTTTGATATATTTTAACAGGGATAGTTCACCAAAAATAAATATAAACAAGTCATAATTGCTAAAAAAAAAAAAACTTCTAAAAACAGTCTATTTACAAGTATGAATCATAAAGTGTAAATATGGCAAAACAACCCTTACCACTTACCAAAATTTCCATTGCCTTTTGAGTCTGTTAGTCCTCAAACTCTGCAGCATAAAGCACCTGTTGGAATTTCATCCGCACCTCCATTCTTTTTTTAATGGTAAGCCTCTTCAGTGACGGCAGCAGGCTGAGCAGAAACAGTTCATCTTCATCTCTGACATTGGTGAGGGCATCTGCAGAAGTTATCTCAGTTTCTGTGGTTGCTTGCCTTTTACGTTTAAGAAAGACCCCCATCTTCTGATGGTTGGTTGGACAGGACTCCGCAGTAGAAAAACTGGTACTAACGATCGGCAGAGGACCATGCATCTCCTTCTCATCTTTATCACGCTGTTTCTCCACATCATCGCCACTTCCAGCTACCTGTGTGGTATGAATGAACAGCTCTTGTTGATCACAGCCAAACAAAGTCCAAGTCCCTTGTATAACCTACACTGTACCTCCTACTATGAACTAAATAGGTTTGCTTTGACTGGGTTTCTACTTTCTTGCAAGTCTACAGATGAAAATAAAATATTTTGAATTATTTTTAAAATACATTTTTAAAATAGGGAAATTTGTATCATTTTGTATTATACTGTTGTACGGAGCTTGACTGATTAATCTGCAGGCTGATATTATTGGCAAATATTATCTTATCACAAATGTATCAGTATTGGCTACTAAGTTACAACTGATTTCACTACAGAAATGTCAAGGATATGATTGGGGTAATTTAGACACAATATATTTTATCCACTACATACCACAAACAAGTACACTTCGCCTTTGTAAATTGTGCAGCTCAGTGCATACCATGTTAGAACTCTTAAATAATCTAATTTAAAGACTGCACCCCCTCACAGGTGTTTTCAGTTACGCTTGCTCAATTGTCCTTTTTCACAAAAGAGAGATACAATTTTAAAAAACATCTGAATTCCATTAAGAGAGGGTGTTCCCAGTATGAAGGCATTGTGAAGGCAAAAATTATATTGGTTACTTTAGTTGTGAGGTTCTGCTTTGATACACGCATGGTGGCACTGCAACTCGTTTGTCATGTTTTGCTGCCCCATATAAGGTTAACAATCGGTTTTCCACCAAGTGCTCTTATTTTGAAAACTAAGCCCGGATATGCTGAGAGGCAGCTGTGATGAATGTCTCCCTGAATGTTTCGTGCGTTTAGCTTGAGAAAAAAAAACATAAATGTAGTTAGTGTTAAAAAAACTACGAGTATGTCTACAGCTCCGTCACATATAAGTATAGTTAGCCTATTGTTAGCAGTGGCGATGATTCCGTAGGCCTAACTAAGTAGTTAGCTAATGACTGCTAGTATTTTAAAACCCAAAGGCGGGAATACATTTTAAATCAACAAATGGCGGACAGGTTATCGCACACCTCGTTTGTTTCTCCCATGCCTGTTTCCACTCTGGGTTTCACATAGTCGCTGAGCCAGGCCAGCTGGTTGTACAGCACCGGGACGGGCCTCTCCACCTGGTTCTCCTCGTCGTCCAGCAGGGGGTCGTTTCTCTTGGCCATTCGCTTCTTCGCTTTACAGAACTTGTCGCGCAGATTTTTCCATTTCACCCTCACCTCTTCCTCCGGCTTTTCCATGGCGCCTGCGATTTCTTTCCACGACAAATGCCCCTTTAGACTGTCTTTGTAGTCCCGCCGTGATTGGTCGTACAGATTCGGGTGTTCACGTATCAGGTCCGCTAACTTCTTTTCGACAGTGTTCATTTTGTTTTGTGTATTTTTACTTCACCGCGAAGTCCTTTCGTCGGCAGACGACGACCAAGGTTCGTCTTCCTCGTTAGGTTCAACTTGGCAGAAGGAAGTACGGAGCTCCATTTATTCAAAATAAAAGTTGTGTTACTGACCTCTTTTTCAGTAGGCTATCGTTTGTAGATGTGAATGAGAATTTCAAACAGAGCATCATATCATAGGGATGTCACATGCGATTGCACAGACAATTACAGCACAACTGTCTAAACTACCCACATAGGTTCCACAAGTAGTGGCAACCTGTTGTTACTGGGATCCAAAAAGTCAAGACATCCTAATTTAAAGGGACAACACTGATTATATACACAACACATGTACTTGATAAATAATTCCAGGCCACATCATCTCAACTGGTTTTCATTGATATCTTTCAAACTCCAGTCGGTATGAAAGTGAAACAGATATTTAATTTCATTCTATATTAAAAAGGTCTTAAAGAGTCTTAAAAGTTAACCCTGGAGAAAACAAAACAAATGGTGAAAATATTTGGGCTTGCAATAATTACAGCACTCAGTCATGGTGATACTATTGCCACGGTTAAATGAAGATTCCTTATGGCCAAATATGAGCGCATACAACTGAAAATGCTACAAATCAAATGCACAAACATTGAGTATCAATAATATTAGAATCTATGTGAAGATAACTTGAGGTAATAATAGAGCGAAGCAATCTATAAATTCTAGGCACATGATAGCTACTACCTCTACTTTTATGCAGTGGTGTATTTTGCTTCCTGCCTGCATACACTAGATGGCACATTTGCTCTTTTCTTTTCACCTCCCATTTAATGTCTCTGTGACTCTGGACAGATGAGATGGCATTAAGGACAAACATCATTATCCTATACATAAAAATCATTTTAATGAGCTTCTTCTTTGAAAACACAGTTGTGGAACTAGAAATGATATGTGTGTGGCTGTGTGTATTGGGCTTTCGTTGTCCATAATGATTTGGGATTATATAGTATTTCATTCTTTCTTTCCCTCCCTGCATGTGTCTTTTGGGTTTAAAAATATTTTTTTATCTATGCTACTGAAACATGGAAGTGGTAAACACACACCAGAAGTGCTGGTTATGGTACAAACTTCATAATTAACATAATTGCTGTCAGGTGGTTGATGGCTTTTTAAGTGTATGTTTTGTATAAGTAAAGAAATTATCCTTGAAAAATTGCTCCCCAAAACATCACAATAAATCATTAGAGTGGAGTGTGCCGTTTTATGGTTTATTCTATGTGTAAGCTGCTGTCAGTAAAGTCCCTCTTATGAAAAACATGAATGGATTTGATTTGATGTCACCACTTATTTTATGCAAAGTTACATTTGTGTTAAAATAACCACAATTATGCAGACGAACATGTAAACACTTTCTGCCCTAACCCATAGTTTTATTTATATTTAGATATGTATGCAGCCCATTTCACGGGTGTTTGGATCTTTGGGTTCCGGATAACATATGATTATCAAAGGCCAGAATTTAAAAGAAGGCTAATTTAAATAGTTTTTAAATGGTAACCACATGCAGACTCTAGGCAGGTGTGATGAATACTTACATCATCACTGCAACATTTACATGTGAAGGCTGCCAAGTTGTGACACATCAAGTCTTGTCTCTGTTGGAGGCTAAGTGTCACCTAGAAGACTCCTCATGTGGGACAGTACAGATTACAGGGACAGCAGAATGGATAATAGCAATTATGAGGACGACAGCTGTTATCATAGGGATGTCACATGCGATTGCACAGACAATTACAGCACAACTGTCTAAACTACCCACATAGGTTCCACAAGTAGTGGCAACCTGTTGTTACTGGGATCCAAAAAGTCAAGACACCTTCATTTAAAGGGGCAACACTGATTATATACACAACACAAGAGATACTCATCAATTTTATTCAATTTTTTACTGATAAACATGGAGAGTTGTTATTGTTGATAAAGAAACAACTTGAGACAAACAGTCACTGCCATTGTTCAACACAGCTTACCCTATTCACGATTTATATGCAGACGGGATCATGGGGGATCCCTGGTGATGTATATATGTGTGATCTGTTTTAATACAGTATAATTAAAATACTGTCATGACAAAATAAGAGCTTATTCATTGCCCTCACAAATTTTGATAATTAAAAATGGGACAACAGGGCAGAAGAGGTTAATAACCTCTGCAAAAAAAAGTCTGACAAAGCAGACATCCCTGCTCCAATAGAACTTAAACCTGCTTTTCACTTTTTATTTATACTTCTAACAGTATAATCCAACTAAACCTACAAATAAATGAACATTTTCAGTAGACGCCTGCAGTGACTGTGGCAGACTGCCTATCAATGGACTGTCCAGAGCCACAAAAGAGCAGCGGAGCCTTTATCTTCTTTAACGTGTTGCAGCAGTAACTTTTCCTTTCAGTGGCCTGAGAGTTTATCAGAACAGCCACTTAGCAGATTCAGCAAATGAAAGCTGCAGATTTCTGTTTGTCAGGTGGACAGAAACTAATCACACGTACAGCACCATAGGATAAAACAGCAATTCAACCATTTTTGTTTAACTAGGAGGAGATTCAAAAGGTATGTGAGACCTCATATAAGAGGCACACTGAATCCTAATGTAAAATAATAACTGAGGTTATCTAATAGAAAAACATAGCTTCATCTATTGTAGCAAGTGTTTCTGAGATGATACAGGATACAGCTTGCAGTCAGGAGGGCGCAAAGTTGACTCCAAAACAAACCACAGCGACAAGCTAACGTGTGCAAACAGTTACCTGGAGGGAGCCACAGAGACTCAAGCAGGCAGCACAGCTCAACAAAACAATGAGTAGAAATCATCTAAAAGCAGCACAGAGTTGAAAAGCTATCAGTGGGTTTGACAGTAATGCTAACATTTTCACATTATAAGGATTCATTTGATTAACTGTTAATATGAAGATATTATTTTAGCGAATCTTAATTTTACCATCTGGCAATTTTCTAAATTCTATTTACTATCTACCATTTGTCAGATTTTCTTCACTTTGCCTATTTGATAATCAAGTCGTTTAATTAAATTCTCAGTGACATACAGTTTTAGTGAGTACTGTCGCAGAAAGACTGTTTGTAACATCTGGCAGCTGCCAAGTACAGCATAAACCACACTGAGGACACTGAGTGAACAGATCCACTGCAGTGACTGAGTATTGGAAACCTTGTTCCATGCCATCTAGATGACAGTTTTTCAGCCACTTTCCCCACCAGGCGGTCCAGGAATTTGAACCACTGACCCTCTGGTCACAAGGTCACTTCTGAAACCATTTGGCTACTGTCCTCCACATCTGTTCATATTGTGTACTCTTTTCCTTGCATGTTTGTCCTGTTAAAGTATTCTGTTGCACAGTGAACCTGTAAAAGTTTCCACTGAGTTCATAATAACAAAGTACTACTCTGATAAGTGTGTAGTAATTCATTCTGCCATAATCTTGGTCAAAATGAACAGTTTTGGGTTCTTAATGCTGATGTGTTTATCTGTCTGCTGAGTTATCTGCCCTACAGTGGGTGACTCAACATCCCAAATTGTCGGCACACACACACTTTCTCTCTCAGCCACACACACACACACACACATATCCTCTGTAGTGCGAGTGACATATTTATCTTCAGAGGAAAGGAGGAGGGAGAACAGAGCAAGATATACAGCCTAAAAACAGACACCAGTCAGGTAGTCGTAGATAAATCTGGGAGTGAGTGTGTGTCTGTGTTAATATGTAAGATGAGGCCCAACATGCTGAGCCAGCTAGTGTGCTTGATAATGTAGATCAGTGAGTAGTACAGAGGCAATATCTTTGAATGGACAGTTTAATAGACAGAGCTGAGACAGTTGGAAAACCTAAAAGACAGTTCTTGAACCAGTGCTGCTCACACAGTTGCCACACTCAGTCATTTTATCATTCTTGTCCAGACCTGATAATCTATAGATTTAATATCTGGTGAGAGGGAGAGACATTTTCCAACCCAAGTTGTCCTCTGGTATCTGAGTGTTTGTGTGTGTTTGTGTGTGTCTGTGTGTGACTGCGTGTGTGCCTGTGTGTGTGTGTGTGGGTGTTGTTGCAGAGCAGCTCTTTCCCAGACCAGTGATAAGTGTCACCTCAGTGGGGGCTTTGACACCTGGGCTGGTGTAAACGGGGTAGTGGCAGTGCTGGTAGGGGCGTGAGAAGTCTGGGGTTCACACCTCATTGACGGTAGGAGATGATCCTGTTAGTAACCTAATACACACACACTAGCATACACATACACACACACACACGCACACACGTACACACGCACGCACGCGCACGCGCACGCGCACACACACACACACACACACACACACACACACACACACACAGTCAAACTGAGATCTATGGCCATAGCGGTGACTTTGCACGTTTTAGCCCATTTAATTATACCTCACATGACTGCGAACCATTTTCCAAAGCGCATCATACATCCTCACATCTGCAACCACTATTTTCCTTTCATTCGTGTGTGAAGGTCAGTCTGCGGGGCAGTGAAACTTTCTTGAGGTAAGAAACTTTCTTTTATTCTATTTCACCTTAGCTGAAACACTTGGTAATGCAGTTGTGAAGCATTCATGGAAGCTCCAACATGTGAAATTCGATGGCTGCATTGCAGAAACAATGTAGTCAACGAAAAAGACTTGAAATACAAAAAACCATACATGTTTGATATTTGCTGTTTTCAAGGATAACATGAATTTGGCCCCTTCTTGTATTAAAAAGCTACAGTGTGTATTTGACTTGTACACTCGCATATCTTGTGTCCTTAAATGCACCGGCGAGAAGTGCATCACTTTGCCATAATATTGTAACTTTTACAAATAAATGAATAGAAATAAATAAACAGGACAAAATATGCTCTGTGATGTATTTCCCTTGCTAGGCAGGTTTCAAATATCTTCAAAAAGATAGGAAATCAGCCT